GGGATCCTTATTCTTGATGTGGGATAAATGTTTTTAATTTAAGGCAGGGGTGTCAAACTCGCATTGTCACAGCGTCATCACGTGATGTATCGTGACTGTTTTTCCCTTCGTTAAACCGGATGTGGGTGTGGCCAGCATGTGACACATCCAGTCACGGGCCACGAGTTTGACCCCTTGACTTAAGACTTTGCCCAACATAGTTGCTTTTCCTCTGATGTGTTTCCAAAAATGCAAAAAGAGCCACTGATTTCTGAAGGGAGTCTCTGGGGGAGATCTTGTTTTGCACCTCTGTTATAAAAACACGCAGAAAATTAGGGAACATTTAAGAAAAGTGGCTGCCCTGTCTTCCCTTCATTACATAAGTATCAAAGTAGTAACTATCTGTCAGCATTTCAGATGAACCCAGCAATGTTTGGTTTAGCTGAAATACTCATGTTTGCAGAATAATTTAGCAACAGAGAAAGTGGTGATCATGTGCTGAGCCTTTTGATAGGGGAGTGGTGTTTGTACATGAATTTCAGAGCAACTCCAAGATCAAATGTATTTGTTTGGACCAGTTAAAAATTAACCACCTCTTCCTCTGCTGTGGGAAATGCAAAACTATTATTTACCTTCAAAGATAATGCAGAATTTTCCACAATTTATTTATTTATTTATATATATATATATATATATATATATATATATATATATATACATATATATATATATATATATATATATATATAAAGGTATTATATATCTGCTGGATTCATATACTCTAATATCAGAGTCAATTTTACAATTCAATTTAGATAGTATATCTGCATTAAAAAAAACCCAAATCTGATACTTTTTTCTACATGGGCACAAACATTATGAAATCAGCACAGACAATTTGATAAGAAGATAATTTAATATTTATGTTTTTTTCAGAACTTGATATTTATTGAATTCACAGGGATAGGGGCTGAGAAGCACAGTGGAAGAAAAGATTATATATCAGCACACAAAAGTAAATGTATTTGTTTATCTTGCTGATCATCAATATTTTATCAGAAATACCATTGATATTGCAAATAAATTAGATACACCCCAAAGTTACTACTTGATTTCTTGACAAGAGACTAAAAAAAATTGCAAAAAATATATGGAAGTGAGAAATGCGGAGAGCGTGATACCAGCTCTTCTCAAACTCTTCTCATGGCCTTTAGGCCTAAATGTACATCGTAAACTGATTAAAAAAAAATAAACAGTATAACAGACTTTACCGGAAGTGATAATAAAATCCAAGTCCCTCCAAACCATGACAGATGGATGGGATTTGAATTGTGCATGAAGCTCCTTGATTTTCTTTCTTTATGGGGAGAGTGAATAAGTGGGAAAATCTAGCATGGAATCTAGGCTTAAATTTCAAATCAAGTACCTTGCGGGATCCTTGGTGCTATCTGAGCTTGTTTTCTTGCAGACATTTCATTGCCAATCTAGGTAACATCATCAGTGATAGTAGGGAGTATGGTTTTCTCTCATTTTATATAGTAGTGGCTTACCTTGTCAATGTTGATAGGAGTGGTTCCTTGATTGGACTGTTCTTTACTATTAGCTAGATTGTCTGAGTGTTTTGAATGTTTGAGTGTTACAGTTAGCTTGTTTGTTTACTCCAACAAGCTAACACGAGAGCAAACCACACTCCCTACTACCACTGATGATGTTATCTAGTTTGGTAATGAAACATCTGCAAGACAACAACCAAGCTCAGAGAGCACTAAGGACCCCACAGTTCAATCCTGAGCTGCAAAGATTTCTCTTCTATCGAGATAACTATCCTCTAGTTGCTGTTCAAAATGAGAAATGCACATGTGGCCATCCTAACTTTGTTGTCCCATAAAAGCAGAAAAAATTGAAGACAGAAAGCTGCTTCTTATCTGTTTAGATCATTGATCCCCAGTGCTCTGTAATGCAGATAGTTGACTGGTTGATGCTTGCAACAGTTTTTCCCAGCTGGCTACTTTAAAAATGAAAGGATCTGGCTATCTATTTATATTTCCCATAATTCCGTTGACTATCATAAATTTGATAGACCTTTCCCATCTGATCCACAACATCAGAACACAACAGTAGTGGCTTCCACTTACCTTCGCTACCGGTTCAGAACTGTGAGCACACATGTGTGCACACTCACTTCGCTCACGTACACTTCTGTACATGTGCAGAGTGTCCATAATGACATCCGGGTGGGTGGGCGGAGCCTCCCGCCACCTCCACTACCGGTTTGCCCGAACCGGGACAAACCAGTAGAAACCCACCATTGGAACACAATAAAGAAACTACAGATCCAGTTGTAAGGAATTGTGTTGTGTTGTTTCTGCAACCTGTCTTCAGATTATATGACTAGGTTAAGTATAGATTTCAAGATGCAGACATCCTTTTCCCCTAGTATGTCTTTAATAATAAGCATGCACCTGCTATGCTGTATAGAATTAGAAGGGTTAATAATTTGCCACCTTCAATGACCCCTTGATCATTGGCTTCTGCCAGTTATTTTAAAAAAATGATGGAGACAGCAACTTTTCTCCAGCACATTTTTTTTTTTTTTACAACTGATTCCATGGTCAGTGGAAGAATAGCAGAGATGAAGATAAAATTTTCACATTTCCATCTAGCGTTCTCTATTCAGGTCATTAATTTCATAAAATATCATTACTTCTTGAAAGAAATAATCTTGCTATCTCACTATAAATCCCAAATCTTAATTCCAAAGATGGAATTATTGGAATTATAATTAAACGTAGTATTCTTGCTTAGAGCAAATTGTAGCATTCTTGCTTAGAGCAGACTGAGTTTTAGGGTCTGGTCTTGATCATAATAAATCTTACATAGAGTAATTTAAACTTCACCCTTCCCTGGCTCTGGAGCCCTCTAATGATTTGCGAGCACCTAATTAAATAGCAAATACAAAGCATTGTCTGTGACCAGTACAGATCTTTGGAGAGCTAAAACAACTTGACCTCAGGGCTCAGCTTGGTTAATAGAGGTCTTTGCATTGAGGCCATCCCTGTTAGGAGGATCTCTTTCCTGTGCCAGGGGATTTGAATGCACTTCTGACCTTTTCAACTTCTTGTGTTGGTATCTGGCCAAACAGTTTAGCCCATCTTTGGTGCTCATTGCTTAGAACTTCAGAAAAGACAGATCCAATAGTGTATATTGTTTCTGAGCAGATGGTCCTTTTGAATTTCTTTCTCTGCCTCTCTCTGCTCTTGAATATATTTAATATTCAGCTCTGGGGGTGGGGAAATCACCACCAGCCTATATTTATTGGTGTTGTTATGTATTCATGATATTTTAAACCACACATCACTGATAGCTTGATTCATTTTTGTAGCTGTCTTTCAAATAGACATTTTTCATGATCACAGCTATAAAAAAAATGTAACTTTGGCATAGAGTGAGTATAGATTTCTTCTGGGTCTTTATTCCTGGGTGTACCTTCTTTGACCTGCCCCACCTTCTTCAGACCTGCCCCACCTGATCTTTAATATTGTTAAGTTCTTTTAATTAAAAATAAACTAATGAGAAACTGCAATGACATATTCCTGCCATTAGTCATCATATATGTGACAAGATTGTATGTCAAAACAGCTACTGAAATGGAGCTACTTGCCATCTTTCATACTGCCCAAGAGGTTGGAATCAGGGGTGAAATCCAGCAGTTTCTGTCAGGTTCTGGAGAACCGGTAGCGGAAATTTTGAATAGTTCGGAGAACCAGCAAACACCATCTCTGGCTGGCTCCAGAGTAGGGTGGGAATGGAGATTTTGCAGTATCCTTCCCCTGGAGTGGGGTGGGAATGGAGATTTTGCAGTATCCTTCCCCTGCCACACCCACCAAGCCACACCATGCCCACCAAGCCACGCCCACAGAACCGGTAGTAAAAAAATTTGGATTTCACCACTGGTTGGAACTATTCCTGGGATAGTAACTAATACTATGTCACATATCTGTGCTACATTTGGGCCTTCTATTGTATTACCTGGAACAATCTGAGTGTACGCATTTTGTGAGGGAAAGGCAGATTCAGTCTCCATATATTATTCGTTTTGGGAGGTCATTATCTGGCCCTCTGATGCCTCCAACATGTAATAGTAAGGGTTATAACCAGGGGTGGTATATTCACTTACCTTCCCTACCCGTTTGCAAATATGTGTGCGCACACACACTTGCTCCGCTCGCACGTGCCATCTTCTGTGCATGCGCAGAGCCTTGAAAATGTGGAAAAATGGGCCGTCATGACATCCACACGGGTCGGCGGGGCATCCCGCAGTCGCCCCTACTGGTTCGCTCAAACTGGATAAAACAGGCTGAATACCACCACTGGTTATAACTGTAAATAAACTTTCCTATGAAGTATTTTTGAGGAAAGTTTATTTACAGTTATAACCAGTTATAACTGTAAATAAACTTTCCTCAAAAATACTTCATAGGAGGACATTAAAGAATCCACCTGATGCAACATCCTTTTACCCAGTAGCCAATGAGATGCTTACAAAAAGCACCTGACAAAAGATGAAAACAGTGGTTATCTTGCATTGATGTACCCTAGTACTTGCTATTGAGAATCATGATGTCTCTGAGCTGAATGATACCAAATAGCCATTGAGGTTAATGACCACTAATAATGCCTACTATTGTCTAATAGTAGGCAATAAAGAAAGGTAGTACCTTCATTACATTCAGATCTTGCAGAGGTATCAACTTAATGTTTATTATAATAGCATTTGCAGGCCTATAACGGTATACAGTTATAGTTGTATAAGTCAGTTATCAATTTCTTTTGTGTGGGGCTCAACATTTTAAATACACCCATTTTATTTTAAAAAATAGCTAGAAAATTTTATAAACAAACAAAGGTTTTTTCTACACCCTAATATTTTTTTACGCACCATATTTTGCACAGATCACTTTCTAGGGCACCTGCAAAAAACAACAACAACAACAGGTATTATTTATTTCATTGTCTTTTAGGAAAAGGGGATAAACTTGACTCATATAGAATCCAGACCTTCCCGGCTGAATAAAGATGAATATGAATTTTTCATTAATTTGGAGAGCAAGAATATTTCTGCCCTTCCAGATATCATCAAGACCTTGAGAGATGACATCAGAGCAAATGTCCATGAACTTTCACGTGAAAAGAGGAAAGATGCAGGTAAGAGAAAAGGTTTCAGCATAACCAATTTTTGTAAAAGGAAGCTTTCTCTGGTTTTACCAAGGGATGTCCAAGAATTTTAGTTGGCTTGCATTTGTAAGATCTGCCAGCCTGATTCATGTTTTTCAGACAAAGAAATGATGGAGGATACATTTTCGCTTTTAATCTTTTGTGATATTCCTTTGTGATATCCTGAAATGTGCATACTGCAAATAAACATGTTAAAATGCATATTCGGATGAGTTATTTAGAAAAAAAAACCATTTTAGTTATTAAAATATATTAACAATGATTACATTCTGTCCTGCTGACTGATACAGAAACAATATCAAACAGATTCATGAATGATTGCAAACAAGACAGATATAGACACAAAAGATCAATTGGTCCTGATTTCTAGTACCAATTACACTTATTTTTTTATTGGCCGGGCTATTGGTTATCATTTTATCCCAGTTATTTTATCCAGACAACTTATTACATGCCACATTCATAAGAAGAAAACATAAAAAGTCAAAGATGTGTATAACTTCCTAATTCTAATAGGTCCGAGTCAAAGAATTAGAATAAGATTACATTCATGCACATAATTATTCATCTATGACTTACCTGTATTCACTAGATAGAATCTAGAAGAAAATATAGTCAGAGGGACTTACATGTTTAGTAAGCATTTGTTTCATGTACATTCATCCAAATCTTCTGATCATGGTTTCTTTAGATGGCAGGTGTGATCCTAATAGGATTTCAGGAAAGGTTGGTTTAAAATGCTTTAGGTCTGCTGTGTCTTTTTCCTTCCTGGGAGCAACATGAAAGGGGAATAATATCTTCCTGAAATGAATCCTTATAATCTTCTTATCCTCTCTTTTGTGTCCTACCCATGACATTGTAAAGGGAAAAAAGGAAAGGAACATGACAGGCAAAATGTTATGGCTTGTCAGGGAGCCACAATAAGTTAAAATTGAAAGTTTAATTACTTTTGGAGGCTAAAGGAATATCTTGGGTCTTCCCTCTTTATCATAATTCTGGCATAAAGAATAAGGAAGGAAAGAAAAAAGGGGGAGGGTTCTACTAGGAGGCAATTATGCAACTCATCTTAGTATGATCCATTGAAATAAGTTAATTGTATTTTCAGATAAGTCTGTTAAGATGAAACAGCATTGTGGGCAGATCAATATCATGATTTAAAACAACAGTAGCAACAACAAAAATACCCAGGATATGCTACCCATACCCGACATGGTCTACTTTTCTGCAGTCCTTGAACTCATAGTGTCACAATCCACCCAACAGATCAGGATGGTCTATAAAACCAACATATAAAAGTATTGAGTTTTGTTTATTTGTTGATTTTATAGGTTATCCCGATCTATTGGGTGGCCAGATACACAGCTGTACTTTTTTGAAATCCCTCCCTCCCCCACAAATAGAACAACATCTGCATATAGAACAACATATGCCTCCGATTTTATGGAACAGTCTTATGAACTTATGAACTCTGAAAATGCAAAAAGAGGCAAAAACTATTACTGCTCCAGTGATATTACTGGATCATCCTTAGGTCCCTTGTAGCCTTTGGAGGTTAGGATTAGTATTTAAGAAATACTAACAAATGTGTGTGTACATAGACACATCCTCACCGGACTACACAGAAGTGTACAACCCTGATTTAATACATGGTAATGTTACAGTCAAAGCTGAGGTTCACACAGATAAAGGCAGAGTGGGTCTAACAATCCAGAAGGAACATTCTTTTCTGTTTCTAATCCTTGTGTACCACTAACAAAAAACTTCCAATCCACAGAGTAAGACCATTCAAATGATTTGCTAATAGCCAGCTTGATCAATATGTTTCAGGGGTGAAATCTACTTACCTTCCCAACCGGTTCGGAAGTCCATGCGGGGACCAGTGATGGGTTGCTCCTGGTTCGGCCCGGTTCAGCCGAGCCAGTAGTGGTGACGATGTGACATCACCGAACCAGTTCTCTTTGATTGGGAGCTGGGCCCTCCCCCCCGTCCCCGCTTTATTCCTACTTTTATTTCTTGTTTTTTAGCCCAGCTGATAGGCGCGACAGAGTGGATTGCCGCACCTCAGCTGGCTAGAAACCTAACGTGCTTGCGTGGAGCAGCGATCGCGCGCAAAGCGCATGTGCAAAGAGAACCGGTGGTAACACTGGTTGGAACCTACCACTGGCGGGGACCCTCTGCACTTGCACAAACCCTTCTGCGCATGCACAGGGGGTAAAAAACTGATTACTTCCTGGTTAAAACCAGACTGGGCGGGTGGGTGGAGCCTCGCGCTGCCATCGCTACCGGTTCTCCAAACCACCAACAACCATTGCTACCGGTTCGGCCGAACCTATCTGAACTGGGAGCATTTCACCCCTGATATGTTTCCAGATCTAAAGATCTGTTGATGTATATATAGATGTCTGTAAACACATTCTACTAGGTTTGTACATATGTGTCTCTCTCTGTGTGTGGTCTACATTCATAAATGTATAATCAGAGACTAAATTTAAATGAATAAGCATATATTTGTGAAACTGGAATGATTTTCATTAAAAAATGAACAGCATGCAATAAACACACACACATACCAGTAAATAGAACTGGGTAATGGCCCAGGTTTGAACTATTTTAGCCCAATTGGCTTCTGATGGCAAGACAGCAACTGCACAAGAGCTAGGCGGATGGTGAAATACATGCAGTCTTGGTGACAAATTGATAGCGATGGATAGGGTATCTTGCCCATCACTAAGAACATGGAACATAATCTAAGGAATATCATAGAGTTGTTAACATTTGTTTGTAGTACACTTTCCTCAATCACACAGCAGGGAAGATTTTCCCACCCACCTGCTTTTAAGAGAACTGTCTGTTTATAAACCAGAAATCTATCTCTATTATGACCAGAATTTTTACACCCACATTTAACATTTGAGTATTCACACTTCGGCTGAGTTTGTGTCACACTCTACAGTGAGATTGAGATAGATCTGAGTAGGTGTGCTGTAAGAATGAAGCCATTAACAGCTCAAAGGAGACTTTATTTTACTATAGTACAAAACAAAGCACCAGCTTCAAGTATGAATTGCCCCATCTAATCATTTTTTGATCTTAAAAATGGTTCAGGGCTTTGCAAAACCTCAGAGACATTTTTAGAGAACTAAAATGATGAGACTGAAAAAAGTCAGAAGAAAGCTATGCATCAGACAGATCCTTCCACGTTAAAGGGAATATTTATTTATTTACATTTAGTATAGTTGCCTACTCTAGAAGGCTTGGAGCTAAGTTATCTTCTAATGAAAAGGACTTTTGTGGTTTGCCAGGTTAACCACATTTTGTTGTAACGATGCCCATAACAATTTCTCAAAACCCTAAATTTGCCAACTGGCCCCAAAAGTTTCAGAACATCTATAGTAAATTATGGTTGATCATGGAGTTCTGGTCTAGCTGCATAGTTGACAATCAAACTGCTCTTAAGGGTTCAAATGAATTGTCATGAAGACACAATGTAGTGCTTTCAATATGCTTAGATCCCTTGGAGTCCTGAACGAAATAATTAAATATGATTCAGTTTCAGTCAGAAAACAGAAATAATTTATTGCAGTTTGGAGACAAGCTGGAAGCTGAGGGTCTGTAGAAGCCTTGTTAGCTTGGGGCCCTGGGGCTCACCAGAACAGTTGGCCATGTTTAAAGAAGGCTCCAACCTGAACTGAAAATGGCAATAAATATTGAACTCCTGTCATTGATTCCCCCCTTCCCAAAATGGACAAAGTTCTGGAGAATCTCTGAATCTCTTTGGTTTCCTTGCTCTCATATAAATAGCTGATTAGCATCCCATTAAGCATCTGACCTCTAGCAAATTGGTCACCACTTGGGTGTCCACAGCAGGACCATAAAATGCTGCTATTCCTCCTGCAGACAAATCAATATTTATTACTAAACAACTTGCATGGGCCCTACAGAGGTCCATGGAGGGTCAGTGTTGCAACTGCTGGGCATTCATTAACAGCCTCAGGAAAGAAACAGCATGTTCTAAAATGTTCTATTTTTAAAGGGCTCCTTCATGTGTTTGTATGGGATAAAATAATATAAATTAAACTGGGGTTAGCTCTCTCTCTCTGCCTCTCTCTCTCTCTGCCTCTCTCTCTCTCTTTCTGTCTCTTTGTGTGTGTGTGTGTCAGTGGTGGGTTCCTCCCAGTTTGGCCCAGTTCTCCCGAGCCAGTAGCGGTGACGCTATGAAGCTGCCCCCCTGCCCCCTGTGCCCCCCCACCCCTGTCCACTCCCCTCGCGTTATTCTTACCTTTTATTTGGCCGCACCCCCAATCTATTGCTGCCTCCTGAGTCCCAGCTGATGGCTAGAGGGAAAAAAACTGTTTAAACTCTTGCCGCCGGGCTTCAAAGGGCCTCCCTACAGCTGATCAGTGTTAAAAGAAAACAAATGAGTAGACCAGTGCCTGCAAAAATACATAAATAGATCAGTGCCTGCAAAAATAAATGGGTAGATCGGTACAGCTCTGCAAGCAGTTAAAAGCCTGGTAGACCAGTACCTCTGCTAAATCCTAAATAATTGTCACATGACCATCAAGCCATGTCCACAAAATAAGCCACGCTCACAGAACCGGTAGTAAAAAAAATTTAGAACCCACCCCTGGTGTGTGTGTGTATCTGCTGGGTGTTATATTTTATCTCTTTCTTAACTTTGAGTCAATCTTGACTATCTTGACTACTGTCAAATAGATAGACTGTCCCTGCAGGATTTTTGGTAACATTTCAGAAGTGGCTTGTCGCTGCTTTCTTCTAAGGATTGAGAGAAAATGACCGGCTCATAGTCACCCAGATTGCTTCATGCCTAAAGCAGGACTAGAACTCCCTCTCTCCTAGTTTCTAGCCTGTTGCCTTAACCACTACATCAAACTGGCTGTCATCTTCCATAAATGTTACACTGTAAATCCAACCATTCCAAACCAATGTTCTTGTAATTGTACAATGACGGTGAAGGAGCTACAATTTAACATATCTGGGGAGAACCAGGATGAGGAAAGATGATGGACATTTATGTACATCCTAATTTTCTGAAATACAGTCTCAGGATAGAATCAGAATAGTAAATCTAAGTATGAAAATAACCAAAAACTACAATGGAGGTAATGACAATATTCCAGGGAAAGGTTAAAAATGTATTTAAATAACATTATAAAAAGCCAAACATTTAGGGGGGAAAGTTCAGGGGTGGGTTCTACTTACCTTTACTACCGGTTCGCATTGGGGCCGTGCATGCTCTTCTGCGCATGTGCAGAGGCGTTTTGATGGCGTCCGGGTCAGTGGGTGGAGCCTCCCACCGGTTTTACTACCAGTTCTATAGAACCGATGCAAACTGGGGGCAACCCACCACTGGGAAAGTTATATGTCCTATCTAATGCCTAGGAATTTGTAGAAAGGTCTAAAGAAGGATATTCATTGGCTATATGCAACCTGCTTTTTGACTGGGCGTGGGCAAGCTCATGAAGGATCAGACCAGAGGTGGGGAATTATGGCTCTTTTATGACTTGTGGACTTCAACTCCCAGAATTCCTGAGCCAGGCATGCTGACTCAGGAATTCTGGGAGTTGAAGTTCACAAGTCCCACCCCCGGATTAAACCATAATTACCATCCTTGATGGCTATAAACCAGTGCCTTGAAATTAGAGTTATTGGGAAATAAATAACAAAGCACAATATTGTGCTTGCTGTTATGGGCTTTCTATAGGCACTTTTTTGACTATTGTAGGAAACAATGCTACTTTGGAGAGTTTTTTGATCTGACTAACCAGACTGCTTTTTATTGAAACAACCCTGTCAAAGTTATCTGCAAAATTTGAATTTTCTTTATTCTCAATAGGATCTACTTTAAATTTAAAATATTATGCAAAACAAAGAAATTTAAAACTTTCTAAAAATGCTCTTTGGAGGGAATCTGGCCTCTTCTTATAACTGTGCCTCTTCCTAGGATACCTACATTTGAGCAGGACTTTTTCCCTCAAAGACCCAATCAGGGTTCTTAGTCAACAAGTTGGTTCCTTATATGAATATGATGCTATTAAACATGTCACTATTAATTACAACAATGTGAGTAGGATTGCATGAATGCAATAGGTAAAAAAGAATTTTAAAGATGAAATAAGGTGTTTTGTTTTTTTTTAGATCTGTGTGTAAATTTTTAGAATTTGAGTCAAGAAATTAACTCTCAAAGTCCTGAATGGCTTAAGTTACATAACTGTGGGGCTTAGAAGCATCCAGTTTCATAAGAGAAACCTCAGTGTTTGAGAGTGTTACTGTGGGTGAGGATCATAACAGACATGGATCCAACTGGGTGTCTTGCTTCAATTATTTTGTTAAAAAACCTTCAGGGCACAATTATTTCTCCAAAGAGTTTGGAGGTCTTTAAAATCCAGGTTTTCATGCACAAATAGGCTCAAACCTATAATATTTGCTATTGCTGCCATCTAGTGGCTCAAAAAAAACCCCCACCCCAGTAGTGTTTATTTAAATTGTGACTAACTTTCAGAAGGATGTCCTGAGTTCTGCAAATAAAAAAGAAATAAAATTGACTTACTACCAGTATGTGAAAAATGAACATAGTTCAGAGATGGCTTATGTTCCTTACTAAGATCGTGGTTCAGTAATCACACCAAACATTCAAAGCATAACACAAAATGGATATTATATATACAACATAGACTGTTATTTTAATATTCTGTAATGCAGGGGTCCTCAATCCCCAGGCTGTGGTCCATTACCTGGCCATGGCCTGGTTGGAACCAGGCTATGCAGCAGGGGTGGGTTCTACTTACCTTTACTACCAGTTTGCAACAGGGCCGCACGCACGCTCTTCTGCACAAGCACATGTGCAGAAGTGTTTCGATGATGTCAGGGTCAGTGGGTGGAGCCTCCCACCGGTTTTATTACCGGTTCTATAGAACTGGTGCGAACCGGGGGCAACCCACCACTGCTGTGCAGATGGCGGGTGAGCACGGGCACATGTGTGAAAGCTTCTCTTGAGCGAGCACAAGATGGCTGCCGCTCGAGCGCAAAGCTTCGCTTGCATGAGTGGCAATGACTCAGCACGAATCTTCCCTCACATAAGTGGCAGTGGATTGTTCTGATGTGCGACGCTCCCTTTGTGCAAGCAGTGGCAACTTGCACTTGCCTGCGAAGCTCCCCTTACACAAGCGGAGGTGGCTTGTGTTCCGCGTGAAACTTCCCTTACCCGAGCGGTGGCTGCTAACACTCACACACAAAGCTCCCTTTGTGAGAGCAGCGGATGCATGTGCCCACTGCTCACACAGAATTGCTCACATGGGCCCCACCTACCATTCACAAGGAACTATCCCCTCTCTCCTCCCTGCTGGGCCTCCAAGCCACAAAGGTCCATGGAAAAGAGCCTTGGTGGTGCAGCAGACTAAAGTGCTGTTAAGTAGCACTTAAGTAGCACTTAGCTGCCAGCTGCCTGCAATTACTGAGAGTTCAAATCTCACCAGGCTCAAGGTTGACTCAGCCTTCCATCCTTCCAAGGTAGGTAAAATGAGGACCTGGATTGTGGGGGCAATAAACTGACTTTGTATAAAAAAGAACACCGCTTAGGGGGTGCCAAAAGCCCTACTAAGCAGGTATATATGATGTAAGGTCCACGGAAGTCAATTTGTGACTGAAACTGTGAAAATTTGTAGCTGAAACAACTGAATCAGGTAGCGCATTCCAGACTTTGACAAGTCTATTACAGAAATCATATTTTTTACAGTCAAGTTTTCTTCTGTTACTCATTGCTTGTTTGGTACTCAGCTAGAACTTGTCATTTTCGGCTGCCTTGTGACTTACTACATTATTCCTTATGGGGAAAATTTGTTTAATATTCACTGTTTTTGGTACTCATCGCTCCTCCTGGAACCAATTAACAATGAGTACAGAAGGACCAGTATATATTAAATTATCTATTATTTATATTTTGGTGTAAATTTCAAGCAAATGCTGAATAAAATAACAGGAATATAACTTCATATTCCATATGCTCTTATGAAGTAGCAAGGAACTAATCATAACTGATGCTTCTTTTCTGCCTTCTAGTTCCATGGTTCCCAAGATCTATTCAAGAACTGGACAGATTTGCAAATCAGATCCTCAGCTATGGAGCAGAACTGGATGCTGACCATCCTGTAAGAAAGGACAAAACTTTGTTAAAGACAAAACAACAACAACAACAACAACAATCCATTCCCTTTTAAAGAAAAAAAAATCTGTTTCTAAACTCATATGTAATTTTACATTTTAAAATGGAAGCATCACTCAGATTTTACCATTCTAGAATTGAGGATTTTGGGAACTGAGCCCAAAACAACATTTTGAGGATGGTTGCCATAAGACAGACAAAAGCCTGAATTATGATCTTCATTTGTGGCTATTGGCATGAAGTGTCATCCTTGTGAAGTTAGGGGCATATTTAAAAGAAATAGTCAGAATCGTATAAATAGGGAATTTCTTATAATCTGAATGGCGCAGATGAAAACGTGCATAGATAACTAAACAAAAAAAATCTATGTTTCCAAGAATGTATTTCTTACTAATTTACTATTCTGTAGATCTGTCATCAATCCCTAACATAGTGAGGTATAATAACTATAACTTTCAGAATTACTCATTATGCAGTGTCACCATTTAAAGAACTCTAGGTAAAAATATCCACATTGGAGGAGGGGGAAAATTCTATTGTAGCTCAACACTGCCATCTAGGGTTTGTGAGATTGAGAAACATCGCAAAAACTTTACTCTGGATTTTTTTTTTTTTAAACTGTGAATTCAGAGTAATTAAGAGTGGTGGATCTAGTTTTTGTGTATCTGATTAGTTACACTGCTGATATTAGAATTCATGCTATCACTTCATTGGGAAAAAAATGAGGGGCATTTTTTAATTGACTTCAGGCTCCTATAATTAAGCAAAGATAATTAAGCTCTGAATGCGGGAAATATCTTAATGGGAGATCAAATAAACTCCCGTATTGCAAAGAATCTTGCATATTGTCGTCTACTGAAATACTCAGTAGACAACAAGCAACACATAGAGTTGTTATATCTCTGTGAACGATGTGATATCTTCTTTATTCTGCCTTCTTTTCTTCTCCATTTTAACTCTTCCTCTAAATAATTCCTTTTTTAAAATTCTAAATATTTGGTTCCAGTATTTTTCAGAGTATTGATAAATTATGTATTTTGGGATTTCTAGTAAAAATCCAAAATAATGACTGGTGTGTGTGTGAGAGAGAGAGAGAGAGGAGGAAAAATTTTAAAGCAACGATCAGCTTGTGGTGATTTTAACATTTTTTAGGTGCTAGGTAGGGAGATGTTCACAACACTTTGTGAACACAATAAAATTTTGGATGAATGACCACATAATTGCTTACCACTGATCAAGGAAAACAACATTCTGTATCTTTCTGATGTCAGAAGATGTAGTGTAGCCAGTAATTATCACTATTAATTTAACTGAAGCTGGGTACTTGTAAATAAATTATACAGAACGCAGCAAAAAGTACTGCTATTACACTAATTGAGGAAGAGTGATTAGCCTTTCACTAGCTCACTAGTTTAATCTAAAATGAATAATGCACCCCATATAATTATTTGGCACACACAATATTTGGTCGAATCCTAGAACAAAATAAGGTGAATGGGGGTCATTGTACTGAAGAACAAGTGAATAATATTATAGATACAGAAGCACAGTAACCAAAGGCAAGATGAAACTATTAACAAAAGATAATGCATCCAAATGAAGGACTCGTCTCAAATCCAACTCCTAGAAACAGTTAATCAATGGCCCTTTTCTTGTAGGGTTTGCTGTTGTTTGGAATAGGGAAACAAAGGTACATCTAGATATTTCCAATAATAAGTCAAACTGGAAGTATTATCTGAAATTTCTTCAGTATATCTACTGTATATTAAATTTGCTACCGTCCACTTAGATCTTAGCTTCATCTTGGACAATCTGCCCTATGTAAGATTAGTGAAGCTATCAAATCCTAGTATATAATTATGCTATCACCCAACTGTTTAACGGTACAGCGATTGCTAAGGTGTCATAGAATCATAGGACTGGAAGTGACCTTGGAGGTTTTCTAACCCAATTCCCTGCCCATTCCAGACAAATCTTTTCTTGAAAAACTCCAGCAAAGGAGAATCCATAATTCTGGTAGGCAAGCTGTTCCGTTAGTTAATAGTTCTCACTGTCAGGAATTTGTCATTAGTTCCAGGTTGGTTGTCTCCAGTGGTGGGATCCTACCGGTTTAACAACCAGTTTGGTGATCGCGCGCTTTGTGCACACGCACAATTGAACAAAAAATCACCTTCAGCGTTAGTGCTGGGGAATTAAAACAGCTGAGGCACAGCAATCCGCTCTGCCGTGCTAATCAGCTGTGAAGATATAGGTAAGTAAAGCTCGGGTGGGTGGGTGGGGCCAGATGATCGTCGGAGCGAACCAGTTCACTCCCAGCTGATTGTCGGAGCTACCGGTTCACCTGAAATGATCCGAACTGGTAGAAACCCACCCTGGATGTCTCTTTAATGAGTTTCCACCCATTGCTTCTTGACATATCCTCAGGCGCTTTGGACAATAAGTCAATCCCCTCATCTCTGTGATAGCCCCTCAAGTACTGGAAACCAGCTATCATGTATATTCCTAAAACTTCTCTATCTTGGAACAGACATATATAGTTCCCTTAACTCAGAGATCTTCAAACTTGGCAGCTTTAAGACTTGTGGACTTCAACTCCCAGAATTCTCCAGCCTTTGTTGCTCTTCTCTGTACTCTTTTAGTGTCTCAGTATCTTTTTTGTATCATAGAACTAGATGAAATATTCCAAGCATTGGCCTCATTAGTGCAGTATAGAATGGCACTATCACTTCTTGTGATCCTGATGCTATTCTTCTATTGAGGAAGTCATTTCTAATACAACTGCACTGGTTTCCATTTTTTATCTGGAACCAATGCTTTGTTTTGGACATTGAAAATTGTATATCTTCTTGACTTTGAATAACGGGAAGTTCCCTTACATATTTTCCAAAGTCTTATCTGCCAGTGGTATCTCCCTTTTTAATTTCCTTTTTTTTAAAATTAAAGAAAGGCATGGGGTCTGCTAAGAAAAGCAGGATTTTAAAATAGGCAGGTTGATTGACAGTTATCACAGTATTTCTCTCTTTTGATACAATTTATCATCATCATCATCATCACAATTATTGTATTTAATTATGATGTGCTGTCATTTTATATGAATTGTTTTTATTTTCATTTTTAGATAATTAAACAGCAGGCATTTTCCTTCCAGCCATTTGTCTATAGTATTTTTGGAAGAAATGTCCATCTGGGTTCAGTTCCAAGTGGGAAGAAAGGCACTGGAAACATGGAGACTGCTTGGAAAGATGGTTTAATGGTGGACAGGACCACATGTTTTTTTGGGGTCCTGTATTCTGATTGGTTGTCAGACTCCTATGGGGCCATGCTGGGGTAACTTTGTAGTGTCTTGAGTCCCAAGCTTGGTTGAATCTTGCTGGGTGATGTAATATCCCCAGGTGCCATGTGGTGAGATCTGTTGCTAGACGGGTAGAGGGCTAATCCTATCATGTCCTGAGGGCCATGTCTTAATCCCATCACCCTGGAACTGAAGGTGGGGGCAGGGAGCTGCAGGGAGCTGTTTTGTTTTAAAAAACACGTTTCTCCTTTTCTCATCCAGGGAAATATAATATTCTGCCTTTTTAATATTTCCTAAAATATTTCATTCTTCTAGGAGAGGGGTCGGTACTAACTTCCTACAGTATGTATATTATTGCTTGACTTATAAAATCCAGGCTTAGAATACTAATACAATGAAGTAGTGTATTTCCATAAGTGCCAAAATAATTTGGGATCTGTTCTGGTGCCTACCCTGCAGAACACCTTCCCTCCTGATTTAGGGTGGCCTGATCCTACCCTTGTGGCCTTTTGGAAAACTTTAAAAATCCAGCTCATCTCTCAGGCCTTAGCACCTAGTTAATGGAGCCAGATTTCTGCTTTTCTCTGTTAAAAAGATAACAGACTTTTTAGTGAAAATTTTTACTGCTTTTTTCCCCCTAATGTTTTTATATCAGTGTTTCTGTTTTTTTTACGCTTGTTAGATATCTGGAGTTATTTCATTAAGATGGGGAGCATTTAAGTTTTCAGAGCAAATAAATAAAATCTGCTGTGTGGTCACAAATATTGAAAAATATATTTATTATTTATTTAATTCAATTTATAAGACCAGTGAAATTGCAGATAGCAATAGTATTTAGACTTATATAGCGCTTCACAGTTCACAGTTTACAGCCCTGTTTAAGCGATTTACAGAGTCAGCATTACCCCCAACAATCTGGGGCCTCATCTGGGTCTCATCTGGGTTGCAAACATAGGATTAAAATCAATACAAATCAATTGATCAATGCTATTCAGGAAGGATATTCCAATGAGGGACAGGATGGAACTGTATCGGTGTTTTAAAAACAATACATAAAGTAACTATGTTTTTCCAGGGCTGTACTATTGCATATTTTTATTAAACTTACCTAGGTCAAATCTTTGAACCTTTTGGTGAATCTTGAATCTTGATTTGGAGAATTGTGATCCTCCAAATCCCTTCTAGAGCATGATTTGCCTTAAATCAACTTGCAAGACATCTGTTTTCTTTAAATTGTACCCACATTTTTAAACGCTCACAAAGCAATCTTTTTTTGTTATCTGTTTCTAGGGTTTCAAAGATCCAGTTTATCGGGCCAGAAGAAAGGAATTTGCAGATATAGCATACAACTACAGGCAGTAAGTATGCAGATTAGAAAGAAGAAACTACCTCCTAAAATAACTTCTTTGGCACAAAGTAGGTGTTCTTTTTGATCAAACAGTGGTCTACAGCAGGGGTCTCCAACCTTGGCAACTTTAAGACTTGTGGATTTCAACTCCCAGAGTTCTTCAGCCAGCAAAGCTCCCAGGAACTCTGGGAGTTGAAGTCCACAAGTCTTAAAGTTGCCAAGGTTGGAGATCCCTGGTCTACAGAGTGAAGATGATGAACCACAGCAGCATTCAAACATTCACCATCAATCACCTGGCCAGAACCCTTCACTTAGTAAGTGAAGTAAGGGCCTCTGCCTCTTCAACCACCAGTCAGCTGAATGTTAATTTAGTAATCAGTAAAGAAGTTTGAGGAACACTGCAGAAGGTACAGTAGAAATGTGCATCTTGAATTATCCAGAAGTGATCAGGAGCATATTAGACACATTATAAATCAAGGCTAGCTTTTCCCCGTGTATTCTTTGCAACAGTACTGCTTCAATGAAGATGTTGGGGAACTGGCCATATGGCTGAAATGGATGCGGAAATGGCATTGGTCATTTGGTCAGTGAGAGGGATGATGCAAATTATGGCTCTGAAGGAGAAAGAAGAAAAATGAGACAAATTTATTCTGGGTAGAGGAGGTTGGATTGGATACAGCATGAAATAATAGAATAAGAATGAATTCCAGACTACAAGCAGGCAGGCTATCTATAGATGCTTAGAGAACAATAGAGCAGTGTCTCCCATAGCTGGAGAATCCATTGCTTTATTCCTCAATCTTTGGCCAAAGATCTCTAATGCGGATTACCTCACTCTCCCTGAAGTACTTAATTTGGTTGTTGAACTATCTTGACCATCAAAACATTTCTTTTGTTGTTCATTTGAAATTAAATTCATGGAATTGTAAGAGCACGTATGGATCCTTTTATATTTGGATAATTGTGCTTTAGAATGTTAAATTAAGATCCATTCTATCAAAAAGAAGCATCATGACGGATAAAAAAAAAGCTTATTTTCATTGGTAGCATTATCTGTAGCAGATCTGGAAGCCTTTGAACAGAGAGGAAACCTAAGCATTTTGAAATCAAAGGAACGGAAGGAGGAAAAGTTTAAATGAATAGTTTGTTATCAAATTAAATAAGAAAAGGCAAACCAGACCAAATGAAGGTAGAAAGTCTCATGTGAATTCTAGAGTCATTCATACAGGGCCCACCTGAATTCACTGAGAGTCCAAATAAAAAGGACCAAGAGACCAAATATACCTCCAGTCAAATTTTCCATAAAATGTTTATTTTCTCTTGCTTGCTTTCTTCCTCCTCTGTTCTTAGATCCTCCTTTGACTGCATTTATCCCCCAATTACAGCCTTCTGGTAATAAATGGCATTCAGACGAGGATCAGGCTCCAGCCCCCACAAAGCTTTGTTATCTAATTGTGCTGCAGCATCAGAGGCGACTACAAAGCACCAGGCACCAAATGAAACAGCATCTCATATGCCTCACATTAAACAGGGGAGAGGAAAGAAGTGTGTATAATTTGCATTATAGCAAGGACTATGAGCAAGATTAAAATAATGCATTGCGTATGTTCTTGATCTAATTGTGTCTATCGTCACTGTTCCAGCTGCATGATAAAATGTTCAATGAGCTGGTTAGTCTTCACACTATTTTCTGGACTGTGAGACTGAAGAGATAGTGTAGTAGTGATTTTATGCATGGTCCAATTTGATAATTAAATCCTATTATCAACTAATAGGAAGTACAGACTCTTCCCCCACCTCTCTCCCTCCCTCCCTCCCCTCCCTGCCTCTCTTGCCAAACTATGGATGATTCATTTATTTATTGTCTATATCAAATAGGACTCTATTTGAAATTCATAGTACAACCAATCTTTAATAGCTAATAAAGCAAATGAGTATGGGATGGCCAAGGAGTGGCCTGCCTTCCTTCCTTCCTTCCTTCCTTCCTTCCTTCCTTCCTTCCTTCCTTCCTTCCTTCCTTCCTTCCTTGGAATGTCATCTCCCAGATCCTCATTTGACAGAGTCCTTGTTAAACAATTATTTAAGCCTATTTTGGGCATTAGTGTTTTCTGCTTCAAAACTGACAACATGATAGAAAAGGTATCAAGGGCCCACCCAAAATATAAAAGAAAAAGAAAGGGTTTGGAATCCAAATTCAACCTTAATGATAGAACAGGGAAAACTTTTTAACAAAAACAGGCTTGATTTTTATAGTGTTCACTGTTAAAGATAGACATGGATATCAGCAGCTCCAAGAAATGGGGTTATGGAGAAGGGGCTAAAATAGATTTGGCAAATATGTAATTGGAGCCTAGCCATTGTCTTTGGATGTTGTGGGAACCACACTTGCATGTTGAGCTGAGAAAGGGTCCGTTCTTTGGATGGACAGCATAGCACAAACACTACACTTTGCTAATTCAGATTTGGGGTGTAGTAATTTGGAATTTTAGAGCCAGCGGTTGATCCTTCTGGTTTAGGTGGCTTTGCTTTGTCAACCTATCTGAAACTAGCCGTTGTGATTTATGCTGTAATGTATGGATAAAACCATGCTTTAAAAATCCTTGAGTCGGCATGGATTCATGACAAAGAGTTGTAATGATGAGAGTTTTAATAGGTTCAAATGAAGTCACAAAGCCAGTGGGTGAATTTTTTCCCCCCACCAAGCCCACTTCCTGAAATTGCTATGAAGATGAAATGCATATCCTTTGAAAAAGAATAAGATAAACAGGAAATCAGGAAAGGTGTAGCATTTACTGCATGCATGTGTATATGTATAGGAAAACAATAAACATGCAAACAATAGGAGCTGTGGACATGAAATTACAGGCCTTTCAAGGACAATCTGTGGAGCAGGAGGGACAATTTAGGATGTTGTTGTGTGGTTCATTTTTAAGACCCTCGGTCATTCATCTTTCTGCCCCCCCTTTATGTATGCCCACACTTAACACCCCCGTCTCTTCAGTTCTTCCTTCTCACCTGCCACCCTGAGCCTTGGTCTATTGATCTCAGCAGCTTTCAAATTGGTGTCTGACAGAGCCTTAAACCTCTCCGCTTTTCTTAGGCCCACGAAGGTGGCCTAAGGATTAATGAGAAATGTCAATGCTATAGAAACCACAGTAGTTTCATCACACGCATCTCCATCTCATTCAAAATCATGTTTAAGGCTCCAGAGATCAAGGAGGACTGGTGCAGAGACACAAAAAATTGCACAATTATTGTGGGAGGGGGCTGCCCCTAGGATCAGGCTGAAGTGAAGGGACCAGGAATGGTGGGGGTATCACTCATCTTCTGACAAAGAGCTGCCACTTTAGAAATCCCTCCTATTATCCCCACGGTGCCACAAACCCTATTCAATTGCTGGGGTGCGGAGGGGGGGGAGCTTTGATTTGGGGCAGGATGAGAGAAAAGGCTTAGATAAGTCGCCTGCCCATGTTTAAAATTATTTTCTGAGCAGCAGACCTCCCCCCCTCCCCACATCCCCCAGTTTTAATGTCAAGGCAACAAGTCGAGCAAGTCAAAAGATTCCTTTTGGGTTCAAGACAGAGCCAGGCTGACTGTTGGGGACTTATCTTTAGGGAAGAGACAGATCTGCTAGTCCTGCTGAGCCATTACCAGGGTCGACTTTTAGCACCCCAGTTTTAAGGCCAGGAGAGATTGGAGGCATTGTTTAGTTAAGCCATCCGCTTTGTACACCGGCCTGGTTTTCAGTGTCAATCACATGTACATCAGATTATTTCGTCTTCGGATCATTAAAGCTGCAAAGCAAGAACAGCATGGGAGAAATTAGACCAAACTGTTACTGCATAGTGAGGAAGTAAGGAAGTAAGGAAGTTGGGAATGGTGCTGATGTTTCTTAAGAATTAATCCCCAACAGGTGTTTTTGTTTTCCTAAATCCAGGTAATTCAATCCTAAATAATAGAGTGGATAAGGGACTATCATATCCTTCTGGGATTCCAGCAGTGTTCTTTACTGTCTCCTTTTCTGCATCTTCTCAAATATTAAAATTGCTCATGTTACCCCAGATGGTCTCATGCTGGAACATTTTGGGAATTAGGACCCAACTGTGTGTGGAGCAATTGCTTGTTTGCTGCAGCTTTTTAAAAGTCCATCACAAGAAGGACCTCATTACGGAGCATTTTTTAAACCTCTTGGTGGGGCAAAAGAGATGACTGTAAATGTTCATCTCTTCTGCAAGGAGCAAAGAGAAATTGTTGAAAGAACATGTCTGTTCTTCTTATAGTAAAAGTAGGTTTGAATTTTCTATTGTTGCTTTGTGCACTTATTTACCTGATCTACCTGCTGACTGGGAATTCTGGAAGTTCTCAGAACTGCATCAGATTGGGGAAGATTGCAATAAAAACTGACATGGGTAAATAATTCAACCTAATGCTGTGCTGAAACATCCTGTTACATTTTTTTCCCTGTCATTCAGAAGAAAGATAATTTGTTTTCAAAATTTATTTCGATGGAGGAGAGATTTTTTCCATAATATTTTGATGGATGGAGCATGATGTTCTTGATTTGCTGCATTATAAGATGGCCAAGGAATGCCCTGTCTTATTATACAACTGTCTCTTTGGAGAGTTGTATCTGTCCTGACTTTCTGCACTTCTCTTCAAACTTGATGGAAGATCCTATCAGCCTGTTTTATTTTGGCAAGTTTGGGAAGGTGCATTTTCCAGGCAACCGGGCTTTGTTTTTCCTTGAAGATGTTTTGCTTCTCATCCAAGAAGCTTCCTCAGTTCTGACTGAATGGTGGAAAATTGAAGGATTTGGGTAACTACAGAAGGCTCAGAGAAATGGAAAGATGGCTTAGTGGGAAACAGAAATCCCAGTAGTAACACCCTCTACTGCTTCACAGTGAAGAAAGCCCCCAAATATCTGATAATAAGCCTAACAAGCAACCTTCTGTCCATGGAAAAATGTTTTCAGAAATTGCAAGTTCAGCATAATATCATTTTGATCCAATAGAAGACAACTTCATATGGATATAGCAGACTGGGATAAAATGAACAGGACTCTGATTATTCCACAACAAGTTTAATATGTGAAAAACATGATAGCAATAGCAATATCACTTAGACTTATATACCACTTTACAGTGCTTTTACGGCCCTCTCTAAGCAATTTACAGAGCCAGCACATTGCCCCCAACAATCTGGGTTCTCATTTTACCCACCTCAGAAGGATGGAAGGCTGAGTCAACCTTGAGCCTGGTGAGATTTGAACTGCCAAATTTCAGGCAGCCAGCAGTCAGCAGAAGTAGCCTGCAGTACTGCATTTTAAGCACTGTGCCACTGTGGCTCATGATAAACTCATAGCAGTAATCAAACTGTCAGGGCTGTTTGAACCAGAATATAGTGTTTATCAGTAAGGAGAATTTTAGCATACATTAACCTTTGGGGTGTCTTATATCTGTTTGGCCTATAAGCAATTGTAGATTTGGCGACGGGATGTGTGTTGAATATTGGCATAAAGTTGCTTAAATGTACAATGGAAGAATCAAAGGACACACGTATGAACACACTGTAGCAAAAAGTTCATCATCATGATTACTTTCCCCGCCTCACCTGTAAAGATCTGCCACAGCACATCAGACTGAATGAATTGAATCAGAGTTGATGTTGATAAGATGGGAATGTAGGTATTTTTTTTACTTCCCTTTCAGTGGGCAACCTATACCCAGGGTGACTTACACTGAGGAAGAGAAGAAGACATGGGGGATAGTCTTTAGGGAGCTGAAGACTCTCTACCCTACTCATGCTTGCTATGAACACAATCATGTGTTTCCACTTCTGGAAAAATACTGCGGCTACCAAGAGGATAACATCCCCCAGCTTGAAGATGTCTCAAACTTTTTGAGAAGTAAGTAAATAGTGCTTGAAAATCCGATATAAATGTGGCTTGTGTATCAGACGCAATCAGACTGCAATTCTGTTTCTAGAAGTAAGTAACTCAATGATTTCTGAATAAGAAATGTTGAACTGAACTTTAGAACATAGCTAAACCTGAAGTCACAATCTAGAACTTTTCTGTTCTTTCAAGGCTGCACTGGATTTCGCTTACGACCTGTGGCTGGTCTTCTTTCATCTCGAGATTTTTTGGGTGGCTTGGCTTTTAGAGTATTTCACTCTACGCAATATATTCGCCATTCATCAAAACCAATGTATACACCTGAACCGTACGTATTTCGTCTTGTAAAGTGTTATGTATTATGCTTGGAAGCCTAGAATATTATGCATGATCAAAGGGGAAGTGGACCAAGACAGTACAGAAATGTGCATAAAACTTTATAGAATATGTATGAATATTCTCCAGAGATTATTGATTTTTGTTTAGCGGTCATGCATCTATAAGTTGGCACAATAAAGAATAAGGAAGAAAGGGAAGGAAGCCATAGTAGGGAAGTGTTAATTCTATCTGATTACACATATATATGTATAGCAAGGTAAATCAGGTAATCTGGTATATTCCAGATATTTTTGGCCAATTCTTGCAATCTCTTGCTTTTGGCTGGCTAAGCTTGAAAGAAGTCCAAAACATATGTAGCAAATCACATTGTTTCTCTTAGCAGTAGTTTATTGAAATAACAGGATTCTTCTAATGTATTAGTCCTTCTCAGAAACACATCTCACCTGAATGTTTTCATACTGATTTATATTTTCTTTTAGTGATGTTTGCCATGAACTCCTAGGACACGTCCCTCTATTTGCTGACCCTAGTTTTGCTCAGTTTTCTCAAGTAAGTAAAAGCTAAATTTTAATGTTAACAGTTGACTAGCAGGAGGTTCACACAGGCAGAAGATAATCCATTATCTGTCCAAGGGATCCAGAAAACTTTGAAAAACCTGACTTTGGTCCCAGGCCTGAGATTGATGCTTATGTCTTGTCTTGTCTTGTCTTGTCTTGTCTTGTCTTGTCTTGTCTTGTCTTGTCTTGTCTTGTCTTGTCTTGTCTTGTCTTGGCTTGGCTTGGCTTGGCTTGTCTTGGCTTGTCTTGGCTTGTCTTTTGCTTGTCTTGTCTTGTCTTGTCTTGTCTTGTCTTGTCTTGTCTTGTCTTGTCTTGTCTTTGGCTTGTCTTGTCTTGGCTTGTCTTGGCTTGTCTTGGCTTGTCTTGTCTTGTCTTGGCTTGGCTTGGCTCGGCTCGGCTCAGCTCGGCTCGGCTCGGCTCGGCTCGGCTCGGCTCGGCTCTGTTGGTGTTTTTCTGGTAAGACTGGTCTATCAGGGCAACCTGGTCTACCCAAATATGGGATGGAACATACAGCTTCTGCTTTCACCTTTCAGCCCCAATCCAGGAGCCTTCCCGGGCAGTCGCTTCTGCAACTTTGCTCTATTGATTCTATTGTTTATTAGATCATTTTAATCTGGAATACCTTTTTGATTTAATGTTTTCTGTTATTTTTATTGAAATGTCCAATCTTACTTTATCCTAAATCAAAACTGTTAGGGCTTATTTTAAAGAAGTGGGGGAGTTGCTAACATGGAAGTGAAGGCACACCCTTTTTATGCATGTTACACATGTGCACTTTTATTTTTCCTCTACACGTTACATACATAAAAATATCTGTGATTCCCTCTGTTGGAAAGAAATATAATTTACAAGCAGAAATATTTTCTTGACAATTTCTCTCCTTTCTTTCATTTTCAGATTTAAAAAAGTTGTGTATCTGTGTGTGCAGGGATTGTGTAGATGACAATAAAAATCAGAAACTGAAAATGCTTTGCTTTTACAGGAGATTGGGTTGGCTTCTCTAGGAGCTCCAGATGATTATATTGAGAAACTTGCAACGGTCAGTGTTGAATTTTGATAATAGCTTCAGTCATATCCTGCAATTAATATGGAGTGAAAGTTCTTGGCTGATTGGTTTCTGAATTATCTTGAAACTCCTCCTTGAAAAATAATTCATTTTTACACAATATGTACATTATATTAATGTAGCTAATCATTAAAAACTCATTACCTATTGTAGTACTTTTATAAGCTTGAAATGTTTACCAAAAGATTATAACCATTAATACACTGGCATTTTATATACAGTAAAACAAATCATAGCATTTTTGAAGGTTAGTTATATGCAAAGAGTCAGGCTCTTACCCAAATAAACAACTAACCATTATTAATTGACAATAAAATCATCAAGAAAGTATCCATTCACGAACTATTTATAGAACAAAATTTTCATTACTATAAATCATTTTATTTCTTTTATTTATTTCATAGACTTGTTTCAGCCTCATCAGAAACTCTGTAGGCAACAGTAACAATAAACTCTGCACTATTTTATTTCAGGTTTACTGGTTCACTGTGGAATTTGGCCTCTGTAAAGAAGGCAACGCAGTTAAGGCTTATGGTGCTGGTCTGTTGTCATCTTATGGGGAACTGCAGGTATGAATTCATGATTTCTGCAAATGAAGTTGATGAATCTTTCTGCAAAATAAAATTTGGCATGGTGATGTTTATGTAGCTTTGTTTCAAATGTAACCCAGTTTAAATTTGGTAGCTTTTTTCCCGGTTTCTTATTGTCTTCTTCTTGATCCTCGAAAGGCTTATTCTCCCAATTTTCAAATATAAGCTATTCTGTTTCCTGGGAAAAAAGTCACTGTGACATCATGTACTGCTCTCTCTTCTTCTCTGTATACTTGACTATAATACAATAGCAATAGCACTTAGAAGTATATACTGCTTCACAGTGCTTTCCAGCCCTCTCTAAGCGGTTTACAGAGTCAGCCTATTGCCCCCCAACAATCTGAGTCCTCATTTTACCCACCTTGGAAGGATGGAAGGCTGAGTCAACCGTGAGCCTGGTGAGATTCGAACTACCAAACTGCTGGCAGCCAATGATCAGCAGAAGTAGCCTGAAGTACTGCATTCTAATCACTCCGCCACTGCAGCTCTCTACAATGACACTCCCCATTCATGTTCAATACTGGAAAGAATTATTAGACCTTACTAAGCTTAAACTGTGGCAGCAACAATAATTTCTATTTAAAACCCTTCTGTTCTTTTCCTTTAGTATTCTCTGTCAGATAAACCTGTCACTGAACCTCTCATCTTGGAAAAGACTGCAGTTCAAAAATATCCAGTTACTGAATTCCAGCCTGTTTACTATGTAGCTGAAAGTTTTGAAGACGCAAAACAAAAGTTAAGGTAGGATCTGCTTAGATTACTATCAAAACCATGCAGTAGTGGCCAAAATTGTGGAAACCTTTTGGGAAAAGTATATTTTTGAGATTCAATGGCTAATAACACCACTTTTTTTTTTTTTTTTTGAGTTTCAAGATAATCATATTCCACTGCTGGAATGGCCTGGGAATAGCCCAGACCTTAACCCAATTGAAAATCTATGGAGCCAACTAAAGAAACGTGCTAGTCAGAAGCAATCCAACAATAAAACCCAGTTAATAGAAGCAATCATTCAATCTTGGTTTCACATTATAACAGCTGCAGAACTGAAAGACTTGGTTCACTCCATGGGCAGACATTGTAAGGCTGTAATTCATGCTAAAGGTTACCCAACTAAGTATTAACTGACACGGTGATAGTTTTTGTATATCTCATTTTTTTCTATGATGGTAATTTCTGTATATCTCGTTTTTTCTACATGTTTCACTTTTCTTTATACTGTAACTTCTATTCTAATAGCAAATCCTTCATAAAAGTTATTGCATTACATTCTTGATTAAATTATCTTTTCCTTGATATATAATTTTATGGTACTACTCCAAAAGAAAGTGGTGTTATTAGCTAGTTTTAGAAAATAGACTTTTCCCAGAAGGTTTCCACAATTTTGGCCACTACTGTAGGTTTACTGCCAGCTACCTTAAAAATCTTTAATTTGAAAGAGGAATTTCAAAGTTATTAATAAAAGCTCACCTGTGAGGTAAATGATAACCCAGAGAAGTTGGACCAAGGGATACACTGCAAGAGAAGACTGAGAAATTGATACTGTACGAAATACATGAAAGAGCAAAAACAAACGAAACGGTCCCCATTTTGTCCCCATATCAAAGGAAAGACATAGCTTATATTCCATCAGTAAGATATGCATAATAGTTTTTATTTATTGCACAAGATCTCAGCTTTATCGTTCATCTTTCCATTTCAAACAAATCATACAGTTCCTAGCTATAAAGAAGGACATTTCACCAAAAAAACCCTGAACATATGGCTGCCTTTAAATATTTGCTCTGCATTTACAGAAAATACGCCTCAACGATTTCACGTCCGTTTTCAGTCCGTTATAATCCATATACTGAAAGAATTGAGGTTTTGGACAATATCAAGCAATTAAAGAATTTATCAGATGCTATTGGCAGTAAGTACTTAATTTCAGAACCTTGAATGGGTTTGCTCGGATGCCAGCCAAGAATCTTTTATATGTCTGATTTGCCTTTTCATTTTATTCAACTAATAGTTCCTTGTGTACAAAGAAATGGATGTTTGACTTTGGATGCATTTTGAAACACTATATAAGATAGATGGAATCACGTATCATGACTTTCAGGTTCATAACAAATTGAAAAACATATTATTTTTATTCCAATTCTAGTAGCATATTTAAAATAAACGTTTTTGTGTTTAGATTGCAATGACAGATATATTCATTTTCTCCTGGAATTCAGAGGAGTTTCATAATGAATGTATTTTTGTAGACCGTATGCATTTTTTGCTGTTTATCAGCCTCAACAACGTATTTTTAATAGTTTCCTATTAAAGATCTGAAGATCTGAAAAAGTGTTTACTAATGGTTGTTTGTGCACAAAAAAGATTCTTGTGTGAGTGGGAGCTTTTATGTTATATGGAATCTATAGACTATAAATTTACAGTTGTAGCACAGTTGATTTTCTTCTTCATAAGTCATTCAATACATTTCCTCCAAACACATACGTAGGTAGTCCTGGACTTATAACCACAATGGAGCCCAGGATTTATGTTGCTAAGTGAGAAATTTGTTAAGTGAGCTTTGTCCCGCCTCACGACTTTTCTTGCCATATTTGTTAAGTGAATCACTGCAGTTAGTAACACGGTTGTTAAGTGAATCTGGCTTTCCCATTGGCTTTGCTTGTCAGAAGGTCACCAAAAGGGGATCACATGGCCCTGGGACACTGCAACCATCATAAATAGGAACCAGTTCCCAAGCATCTGAATTTTGAGCCCGTGACCACAAGGATGCTGTAACTGTCATAAATGTGAAAAACGGTCATAAGTCACTTTTTTCAATGCCATTCAACTTTGAACGGTCAGTAAATGAACTGTTGTAAGTCGAGGACTACCTGTATTGTCCGCTTTGCATTCTCCCCATAAGATTGTACCAGTGGTGGGTTTCAAATTTTTTTACTACCGGTTCTGTGGGTGTGGCTTGGTGGGCGTGGCATGGCTTGGTGGGCGTGGCAAGGGAAGGATACTATAAAATCTCCATTCCCTCCCCAATCCAGGGGAAGGATACTGCAAAATCCCCATTTCCTCCGATCAGCTGGGACTTGGAAGGCAGAGAATAGATGGGGGTGGGGCCAGTAAAATGTTTACTACTGGTTCTCCAAACTACTCAAAATTTCTGCTACCGGTTCTCCAGAACTGGTCAGAACCTGCTGAAACCCACCTCTGGACTGCACTATGTTTTCTTTTGTTTGCCCAGTAATCTCTGCATCATTATCTCTACTGACAAGATAAATTATGCATAGCTTCATATGCACTGACTTCTACTCCATGAAGAAAAAGTTAACATGCAGATGTAGCACATATAAAGCAAAGTGAAACTTGCATTTTTCTTGATTTCTTTGCAGATGAAATGGAACTTCTTCGCAATGCTCTCCAGAAGATCAAGTGAAACTTTTTTTTTCTTTTAACCAAGACAGTTTACTCATAATTAACATATATTGCAGAAAAGTAACAAAATCTAATATATAATATGTTTATATGTATATCTATACATAAATCCCTCTCCAGATTTTGATATGATCATATAAATCTCTACAAAATTAATATAAATAACTCTTTAGCTAGGAACTAGGCCTTTCAAACATGATTTCTATAGGATAGTGTTTATATTGTTACACTAAGTCCTGATATAAACCAATGCAGCGTATATAATTAAAAAAGGAAAATAGTAGGAAAATAGTAGAAAAGATTTAATTCATATTTTATATAAGAGCTTTGCATTTTGGAAGTGCATTTAATCAAGTGCTTTTATTCTTTCCAATCCAATATAACATTGTGAAGGTGATCAAGACTCTATCAGCAGGGCAACTCTCTGAAAATGTTATGGAAGGGGACCAAAGTTGGGGTAGGAGAAGAATTGGCAAAAGAAAGAGTGAAATTGAAAGGTTGCAGAAAACATGCTTGAGCACATTTTTTTTTTAAAAAAAATTGCGATGCATCTCTGGAAAGAATTCAGGAAGCTACATTGTATCCATACCTTTTGAAGTCTTTATTAATTTTACTTTTACTTTCTTACAGTGCTAATTATCTATGAATCAGATGTGAAGATTCTGTTGATGTTAGGTATCATGTACAATTGTATAATAATGTCCAACATGTTAAAGATAAATATTTTAAATTGATCAACAGGGATTGATGTAAAGTTCCATAGGTAATCTATCGGGAAGGAGATAATGGTGACATGCAAAAGTCCAGCATGCTGTGCAAATATATTTTTTTCTTTCAATACTCGTGTCCTACCTACAACTCTGTCCCATTCTACACTTTACATTTTACACATTCTACGGATGTATTTTTGCTGGTAGAACTAACTATCAAGAGCCTTGATAGTACAGTGGTATACGCACCCTGTTATTAACACAGCTGTCTGCAATTTCTGCTGGTTCGAATCTCTCCAAGGCTCAAGATTGACTCAGCCTTCCATCCTTTCTAAGGTAGGTTAAATGAGGACCCAGTTTGTGGGGGCAATAAGCTGACTTTGTATAAAATATACAAAAGTATGAAGGCTATTGCTTAATGCATTGTAAGCCGCCCTGAGTCTCCAGAGAAGGGTGGCATATAAATCAAATTTAAAAAAAAAAAAAAATTCACCGGCAGAATATATCTGTGCTACATATGTCTGCAAATTCATGCTTTGCAGGGGAAAATCCAATTTTTACTGCTATCTTTAAATGTATATAGATTATGTACATTGATCATCTGAAGAAGAATGTACATTGATACCCTTATTCAAATGATTCAAACACTGGCTAATGTAAAGCTAAACATTTTAAACAACTATACTTACATTTAAGTTCTTTATTGCTAGCCAATTTGTAGAAAAAAAATTAATCCAAATGTTTATCATATTTTTCTTAAACCAATATTTAAAATGTATAATTGTTTCAATTAAATGCAATACCTTTGCTATTTTTGTGCATGGAACCTAAGGGTTTTCATAATAGTTATTCTCTAAAATTAATATATTCATTACAATTGTCTTATATTTTAAATTCATTTTCAGTGAAATTTTGATGGTTCATGTTAAAGTAGGAATAGATGTAACTGAGTTAATAAAAAGATTTGTCAAAGTATATGTATAAGTGATTTTATGATGGAATATAATCTGGTAGTCCACAAGTGAAGGAGAGGCTATGTCAGTGATGGTGAATTTTTTTGGCACTGAGTGCCAAAAAGGGAGCGCATGTGTGCGCATGGCACCAATGCCAAAAAGGGAGCACTTCGCACATGCACGCTTGCTTCGCACGCACGCACACACTCATCAGGGCAGCTACCAGGAAGAGGAGCTGCCCAGGTGGCATGCGCACACCGGATAAGATACTGCTGATTTCCTGTGTGCATGCGTGCCAGCCAGCAAGTCTTCTGGTTACTGCCACGGATGCGCATGCACTGATCAGCTGGCTGGTGCACATGCTCATGCCAGAAAATGGAAGACCAGCTCTTCCAGTTTCCAACACTGCCACACACACAAAGGCCAGCTGATTGTCGCATGTGCATGTGCACCAGAAACCCAGAAGAGGAATGGGTGATGCTGCACATGCCAGGCGACATGGCTCAGCATGTCACTTTGGGCATGCGTGCCATAGGTTCACCATCCTGGGGTTATGTTGTGAACTAGTTTGAAGTTACTGGAAAATGGAATTTTCTATTGGCATTATATATCTAATAAGAAAAAAGGAATTATGAAGATAAGCTGAATAAATATATGAGAAGCCACATGATTTTCATTTCATATGATTCAACTAATGATCTAATTAACTTTTTAAATCAATGCAGTCTGCAGCCTTTATTTTCTTTATTATGGGATTACATTTAATTGGATGTTTAAGATTTCATTGCCTAGTAGCAATATGAAATGCAATTGCTAGGCTCTTAATAAGTATTATTTCAGCTCATAAAACATTGCTTTTCATGGCTGAATTATGTCCATGTTTTCCAAGGTTGTGGCAAAAAAGAGCAAATTAATTAAGATTGGATGTTCTCCTTAATTATAACGATCACTAAAGCTCAGAGGTATCTGAAAAAAAATCACCTGGGATTAGGGCTGTTGTAATGCTAGCCAATATAGGCATGAATACAAGAATAAATTTCAAAATATAATTACTTAATACTTTAATCTCATTAAACCTATTGAGAAAATGACTAATTCATATTTTATGAGATAGACTTATATTCCTTGTATGTCATGAAGCAATTTTTGTTCAGCATACAACCAACCAATTTCTTTTAATACGGGAAATTTATACCTTTATTTATTTTATCAATATTTTAAAATCTGTCTCCCATAGAGAAATTCTTGGAATTCTCCTTCTACTTTCTGGGCTTTTCTTGAACGTGCTTTTCTCAATAAAATTGCAATTAATTGAACTAATGTTTAAAGCTCCAACTAGTATTATAAATATCCATAAATCATAAATGTGCTTATATATTATTTGATTAACATTTTTATTATGATTATATTCCACTACTAAATTTATAGCGCTATCATCTATCAGTTACACTCTTGAAATTTTGATGATAAAATTTTATATTGTTATTACTATGTTACTTAAGCCAATTAGATCCCTTTAGGTCTCCTGGATTTCCAAGTAAATAACAATGTAAACAAAATAACAATTATCAATAAAATATTTATTTTCCTTCTAAAATACTTTTAGAAATAACATTTCGGTTTCCCATAAATTGGTTAATATATGTCAAGTTTTAAAAATTATGGCACATTAATATATGCATACTATATATTACAGCTTAAGTTACATTGCATTCAAATTTAAATTAAATTGCATTCAAATCAAGGATTTAATAACCAAAAACTAATAATTAGCAGCCCTCCTCAGAACCAGATTTGTGTACTATCTTGAAGAAATTGTGCTTCACAATGATATACAGAGATACACAAACACATTTATCACCTCTTAAATGAAAACTAACTGGAGAAGCTAATCATAAATACCAAAGAGAACTCTGCCAATTTAATCCACCGGTGTGGATTCAGCTGTCAATGAGCATTTTTCAGCACCGAGGACAGCACCGCGGTGCCGCTACGAATTTTGCGATTGCCCGTATAGGGTGAAGGATGAAATGGTGCCCAACCGCTTTGAATTGGTATTGAAGTGTTTCAGTCTTGGGCAACGGGATATTAAGACGGCTCTTCAGTACCTTAAACACATGTTTGGGATCTGGGTTTAGGTGAAATAAAATTTACTGAAGGTTCATAGGCTTTGCAAAAATCGTGCAGGTGTTGTTTGCATTGAAGAGTTTATTCCTTGAAGGTTTCAAGTAAGATTCTCTCGTGCAATGTCTGCATTGATTTTCTCCGTGATATTTTTGTATTTATTTGCCAAGACAATATCAAGGAATTGGGCATATCTCACCCAGATTATCCCTCTCCATATAAAGAACAGATGAAGGGTGGTTTAAAAAAAACAAACCAAAAAAAAAAAAAAACAACCCGGAAGGGCTAAGAGTAGTTTAGAGAGAGGTAAATGAAATGACATAAGAAAATGGGTATTGTTGAGGAAGGGGTTGGGGGGGATCACATTTATAAAGGAGTCTATTAATGCAATTGATTTTAAGATGCATTTAATAAAACAATTTGTAGATGTCTTTGACAGAAAGCCAAAAAGCAGAAATCACGTCTGATTTCATTTCGTTTGCTTGATACTTAAATTCGAATTATTTTAGGCTGCAAATCTTCCTCAGAGCCTTTTGAGCCAAGGTTGCTTCTCTGATGCCACCATCTGCCTTGTGGTAAAATCACACGGAATTCCGTGGAATTCCTACCAAGTCAACTGAAGAACCACACTTAGACCTCACGTTTATCCATAAAACCCCAACAAAGAAGCACAACTGGATAGCTCTGCAGACTAAAAGCATTGTGATTAACACCAGCTGCCTGCAATTACTGCAAGTTCGAATCTCCCCAGGCTCAAGGTTGACTCAGCCTTCCATCCTTTCTAAGGTAGGTAAATTGAGGACCCAGTTGTGGGGGCAATAAACTGACTTTGTATAAAATATACAAAAGTATGAAGGCTATTGCTTAACGCATTGTAAATCGCCCTGAGTCTCCGGAGAAGGGCAGCATATAAATTAAAGCAAAAAACAAACAAAGAAGCACAACTGCTGCGTTCCTATTATCTGCTTTCTCAAACAAATTATATGATGCTCGGAATCACAGAATATCAAATAATAATAATAATAATATCTAGGTTTCCCTACAACGTCGGGAACAATTTGTTACAACAATTTGTAATTCCAGGCAAACCCAGAGTGCGGTGCGAATGCGACTGAATGGGCTTCTTTTACCCACTACAGCAGGTCAATCTAATTGACAGCCAACAGCATCTTTCTTGTACCGGAGCAGGAGGGTGGTGGGGAAAGGAGTGATGTTCACACAATCAGAATAAAGCTATTTAAATGTTTTGAGCCTAAGCATTCTGAGGACAGCGATCGAATTTTCTCCTTACCCTATTTTTTGGGTGGGTGGGTAGGTGGGGGGGGGAAGGGGAGTCGTTTCTAGACGTCTCTGAACACATATGGTTCTCAAAGCAGCTAGCAGTCAGTTAAAAAAATAGGCAAAATTGGCACATAGCCGGTGTGTGTGTGTGTGTGTGTGTGTGTGTGTGTGTGTGTGTGTGTGTGTGTGCGGGAGCCCAGCATTACACTACAATGCAAGAACCGCAAAAAGTTACTGTCAAACCATTTTAAGGGGGAGAGTTATTTCCCTCGGAAACAGAGTCCCTATGATGGTTAAGACAGTGTGGGTCGATCGCGTGCCAAAGACTCCCCCAATCTGGTACCTTCCGGATGTACTGGATTCCTCCCCCCCCCCATCCCCAGACGGCCTCACGTTGATGCTATTGGAAGGCATTCAGTTGAAAGAAGGAGGAAGCATTACGGGAACTCACCTCCTTCCCCGTACTGGAGGATCCCGTCCCAGTTCTCCCCGGCCCGCAGCAAGTACACAACTCCACCGCCGCGCTCCTAGAAGACGCGTTTGGGCAGCTGAGTAGATAGATCCTGTCGGGGACACCGCCGTCTCCTTCGCGAGAGATCTTGCCGGCCAGGAGCGCTTTGGGATCGCTCGCAAAGTCGAGAGAGATGGAGGCGCAGCGGTCTCGGGATCTGGCTGGGAAAAGAGAAGAGCGGAGCGCTACGGTGATCTTCACCTTCGCCCTGAGCCACAAGAAGAAAAGCAGCATCTCCAAGACACTTCGAGTTTTCGAGGTACACCTGTTGAAAGTTCTGTCTTCTCCCCACAGGTTCGCACCTTGTGTCTTCTGAAAAGCCCTTCAAGCTTGGGGTTCGGTGCTTCCCGGTTT